TCAGCTCTTCTTTTCAGAGCCATCCACCTGTAACGTTCTGTAGAATAGACGGAACCCATTGTATCTACTCTCTGGTTCACTAAACAGGGGCTGTTTTATTTCTGCAATAAGTTTTCTTACTTACAGTTGCTTTTACTTACACCTAAAGTTTAGTGTCCAAAGAGTAAAATGGATCCAATGTGCATTTGAATCCTAATAGATATTGACAGACTTGTTCCCCGAAATGTCTGTGGGAATTAACATCCCTACAGGATGTAAGGCAGGAAATATGTGTATTTTTTTTTTTTTTTTTGAGACAGAGCCTCAAGCTGTCTTCCTAGGTAGAGTGCCGTGGCATAGCTCACAGCAAGCTCCAACTCCTGGGCTCAAGCGAGTCTCCTGCCTCCGCCTCCCAAGTTGCGGGGACCACAGGCGCCCACACAACGCCTGGCTATTTTTTTTTTCGGTTGCAGCCATCATTGTTGTTTGGTGGGCCTAGGCTGGATTCGAACCCACCACCTTAGATTTATATGGCTGGCACCTTAGCCACTTAGCTACAGGCCTCGAGCTGGAAATACATGTATTTTAGAATAACTCTCTAGGCCCAGAGCCACTAGCCCTGATGGCACCCAGGTTGCCATAAGGGGTGTCGGCCATGAATACAGCAGTGAATGGGTGGGCTCCCAGGGAAATGAAGAAATGGTTCTTATCAGCTGTCTCATCTCCTTCCCCCTGAGGCAAAACGACTGGGTGGGAGGAACTTCCTCCAACACCCCTATATAAAATGTCTTTGTGAGATGCTGAAAAGGAGGATCTGAACTTCGGGGATCCCTAAGAAAACTTGGCACAGGTGAGAGCTTTCTCTGTTGTGGTGGAACTTCAGCTTCAGTGATGGTGACGGTTCAGTCTCCTGAGAGCTGCCTGGCTTTGGCGGGCAGGTGCTTGAGGCTGGTGTGTCTGTATGTGGCTTTCAGGGTACAGGTGTCAGCAGGGCAGCACATCTCATCCTCGGCCTTGCGCATTCTGTTGAGGTATTGAAAGTTCTCTTTATCTGGGAAGGCAGATGGTGGGAGCCCTGGTGGAGGTGGGGAAGTCCGTGGCTTTTTGAGCTTTGAGGAGGGGTCACATTTTCTAAGTGCTGTGTGTTCCTAGGAAGCCCAACAACCATTGCTCCTCCTTCCTCACTTGCCTCATAGACTCTGAGGGACCCATTCAGTACAAATAAAAAGCATAATATTCCCTCCTTCACTTCTAGGCCTGCAGGAAAGCCAGCCTCGGCCACTGCATTTTATTCAGGAAGTAGCCCCTGTGTCCTGGGTCCTGGAGACTCAGCAGCTGGGCACTGCATGGGCTTTGGGGGCCTTCATGCTTTCTATGCATGCCTTCTTTTTCTCCACCTCGGTCCACAGTTCCGTAATAGTGTGGTCGCAATGCGTGTGTGTGTGTCAACAACAAGCTGTGCTCTCCCTTGTAGGACACAGCCACGATGAAACTCCCCCTACTTCTGGCTCTTCTATTTGGGGCAGTTTCTGCTCTTCATCTGAGTAAGTGTTCTTTGCCTTCAGTCTTTCTTTCTCTGTTTTCTTCCTTTGTGGAGTGGATGGGGTCGGAGTCACATCCCCATGCCCTTCTCTGATCGTCCCCTATTTCAGAATCTCTGTGCATTTAAAAGGGTAGGGACCCCATGGCCAGGAGTGGAAAGGACTCCTCAGGGCATCTGTTATGGCTGTGGCCTGGGTTCTCCTGTGACATTCCCAAGTTTGTCCTTTCCACGTGATGCTAATGATGGTCACAATAGTAATGGCTTCCTTTCACTTTGAGCTTCCCGGATGCATGGCTCTAAGCATTTCTATGCCTTACCTCCCTTCCCCCTTGTAGCATCCCCTCAGGTAGGGTTGGGTTCCCATTTCACCAGTGAAGAAATGAAGCTAGCAAATGAAGGAATCTTGCTCTTCACCACCTTGGCCTTGAGGGGGAGGTTGAGGTCTCCTCTGGAGACTTGGTTCTAGGTTCCTCTTTCCAGGAGGTGCTGAGCCCTGTGATGCGCTCAGAGCCAGGCAGGAGCTGTCCGTGGTTGGGGGGGGCAGGTGGAGGTCTGAATATGTGAAGGAAGGACATCTGGCTTTTCTCCCTGCCAGGGGCTAAAACTTCCACCTTGGAGAGCAGCTTGGGATCTGAGACCCTGCCTCAGCATGGGGAGATGCCAGAACAAGAGGCTGAGGAGGCCCCTCCTGGGGAGATGGCATCATTGGAGGGACAGGAGGAGGCGGGTTGTGGCAGTGAAGATGCCCCGGAGGAAGAGACGGCTGCTGAGTCCATCTCAGCCCTAGATGTGGTGGACAAGGACGTTCAGTGTCAGTGTCCTAAGGAAGAGGACACAGTAAAAATTACAGGGATCCCTGGGTGTAAGACCTGCCGCTTCATCCTGGTAAAGGCTGCCAGGAATTTTAATTGCGCCCGGGTAAGTGGCTTGTGGCTGAGGCTGAGGCCTGCTGGAAGAGGAAGGGGGAGGATGTGTCTCCAGCCTTTGTACCACTGGTTCTTTTCCCCACTGAAGACCCTGGGGGTGTTGGCAGAAGCTGAAGCCCACAGTGGTGTTCAGGTAAGAGGGGAGGGACAGACAGAAACAAACACAAGTTGCCTTTTGGTCTGTCGACTTGATACGGCAGAACTGTGGACACTCAGAGACCCAAGGCTATGGTCATACGAATTCATGTACGAGTGATACTCCATTCTTCCCCTTTCATCTTGTCCTGCAGGCAACTTGCCGGCGTTGCTACAGGGGCAACC